GCAGCATCAGAATCTCGTGTCTCTTTCTAGTTGATGAGGCTGTTTTATGTAAAACTCATCTTTCATTATTCACTTGTTCTTACCTTTGAAGCAGATCCTTCCCATGAAGGCTGTGGGGGCTGCTTAATTTTAATGATGTAATTTAAAAGAAGTACATGAATAGAATGATTTTTTCTAATGGTGTTTGTAAGTAGGATCACAAGTCTGCATCTTGTACAGCAATTAACCACTAAGAAGAATATATGCAGTGTATTATTTGTTGAAACTGTACTTTCGATTTGATTTGAAACTGTCTCATTGCTATATGTTTATCAATAAAACTTTGAAAAGAAAAAAAAACAAACAAAAACAAAAAATAAAAAAATAAAAAATAAAAGAAGTACAACTCCTTCTGTCAAAAACATACACAGAATCATAAATTTTTCAGAGCCAATTGTAGCAATTGTCATACTTTTGAGTCCCTGTGAGCCAGCATAGATATTTAAAAAGGTGGGTGGGCTAAATTTATGTTCTTCCAAAGTATGGTATTAAAACACTAAGATAAGCCAAGAGGATAGCAAGTTTGAGCCCTGCCTGGACAACTTAATGACTTATTGAGACCCTGTCTCAAAATAATTAAAAAGGGATGAGGATGTAGCTCAGGGTGAAAGCCCAAGACACAATCTCCAGGACCCCCCCCCAAAACACCACGAAGCTTCTATTAATGGCATCATTTCATTTAAAAAATGTTTAACACCAAAATTATTATGAGCATTGCTATTTGAAATATCAAATTCATTTTACTTTATAAAAACACATGGCATTTAATTTTCAAATATATTTGAAATAAATATTTAAAAGTGATTAACAATGTGTCTAACACATGTTAATTCTGTGTTATTATTAGTGTTTTTTAATACAAGAGAATACATTTTTCAACGCATTTGAGTTTTTTAAAAAAGTGTATTTCGTACAGGGTCTCACTACACAGCTGGGACTTGTAGAGATCCTCCTATTTTCAACTTCCCCAATGCTGGGATTACAGGCGTGCACCACCACGCCTGATCTCCGTGGCCGGCTCAGCATGCCTGGGAGATAGGGCCAACGTGGCCTGTGGTACCAGGGATGGAACCCTGGTCTCTGTGCTTGCCTAAGCAGGCGCTTAGTCTGCTGAGCTATCTCACTGGCCTGGCATTTGACTTTCGTCGTATAACATTGAAGGTATTCAAGTAAAATTTGGAATAGAACACAGGTGACTTAGATTTGCTCTGTCACTGTGGGAGGCAAGATTTTCTTTAGAAATCTTATTTACTACAAATGCAATGAGATTAAGAGTAAATTCATTTTCTTAATGATAGTGCATCTTAACAATATGGAATGAATAAAGATCCTATTTCTGTTTTTTTCCTGGTGACAGCCAGCTGGATATTCTCTTATTCACTGGAAGTCAGTTTTATCTGGAAAACACACATAAAAATCCCAACCACCACTGTTGATTGTGGTTGGTTTCCTTGTGAACTATTTACTGCTCACTAAAAGAAAGTAAGTCTTGGAGGATGATGTCATAGGGCAAATTCCCTGTGATTCCCATGAATAATGCCAGGAAGGACAGTTCTACATGAAGTCACAGGTGACACAAGAGGCAGTGTGGTGTCACACGTCTGGCAGGGACTCCTTAACTCAGGGTGCATATGCTCAGGTATAGCTACTCTTGGCTTCAGCAGTAGAGCATGTTGTTATTCTCTTTCCATAAGGTTCACTGAATTCCTTCATGCATTTAAAATATGGCAGCTGTGCCCAAACACAGCATACATCCCTGGGCAGCTAGTAACTTGGTGCCACAAGATCAAACTTTTAACATTATTATATCATTTGTAGTTAAACTTTTTATGATTCAGTTGCATGGTCCTGGACTGCAGAGTGTGTAGGCAACAAAAGAATGCTATGCAGGAGGGGGCACAGTGCCCTGCTAACTCCACCTCCTGCACCCACAACACAGAGTCAACTCAAAACTTGCACACATCAGGCATTGCATGCCCTTGTGTAACTGAGTAAAATACAGCCATTACAGATCACATGGTATTTAAACCTGCTTATACATGTATGTGCCTGTAAAGACAAGGGTTTATTGTTATTAAGCAGACACATAGGTTTTCTTTATTAAAATGGGCTTATGTAATTTCATAAAAAAAATTTAATATGTTTGGTACAGGGTCTCACTACGCAGTTCAGACTCATAGTGATTCTCCTGTTTTCAGCCTCCCCAGCACAGAGATTACAGGCGCATGCCACCATGCCCAGTCTCAATCGCTCTGTGCACCCCGTGGGTGGGGCCTGCACGGCATGCCCGGATGGCACGCCAGGGATGGCTTGCTGGGGATCGAACTTGGTCCTGCGTCTGCCTAAGCAGGTGCTTTAGTCCACTGAGCTGTCATACAATAATTTAAAAGTTAAGAGTGTTTGAGCAGCTGTGGTCTTAAAAAGACAAAAATGTGTCAAATAGCTTTTACTTGTGATGTTATAACTCCATAGATAATATCACTAATATTATGAAAATAAGCACCTGCCTACTTACTAATTTTTGGAATGTGTAGAATTGCCCTGAGACACTGAACTCACAACTTTGATCATGTCTCTTTATAATCTTTTTTTTTTTTAAGACCCGTCTTCCCAGAGAAAAATATCCCTTGTTTTACAATCATGCCTTATTCATGGCATCTCTTTTTGGGAGTATGTACACTGGTGAACAGCTATTTTTAAGACTGAAGAGTAAAGACAGACAACTATTTCTGACAAGTACCTTGAGAACTCATTAAGAATTGCAACCACTTCCATCGAACCAGACATTGATGCATTATCTCTATAAAAGCAAGGTCAAATACACCACAACTTTTATATTTATGTTGCTCTGGTCTGTAATGTTATAATAAAAATACATAAAAATAAAAGAAGCTAGGGAGAAGGTTTAAGTTCCCAAAAGTATTTGGAGGAGGAAAGAAGAGGTGGGAGGAACAGAGCCAGGGAGAAGTGTGCCAGGGGGTGTGAGATTGAGCACTCATTCCCAGGAAGACGTGAGCCACGGCTTTCCTTGTGTGGGAGGGAAGTGGGTGAAGGGTATTCTGAGATCTACGACGGCCAAACTACAAGTTGAGGTTTTCATATCTCACTGATGTGGTGAGCTCCTTTATCCTACCCCACTTCAGTCTTCAGAAACATTTTCTACCATGGTATATGAGTATTATGAATGTTTCTGGTGGAAACTGAGAAAGGATCTAGATTTCCCATTTGCCTTGAAACAGTAAAGAAGTGAGAGCACAGCCCAGGAACTAAGACCGATCACTAGGACAGAAGTTACCTGAATCCTCTAGAAATCTCAGCAAGGGTTCGAGCCTGGTTCCTCAGCAGATACCTGTGTTATGACTTTCTGGTAATAGATTCATTCTGATCTTAGACCTGTACATGAAGTTATACTGTCTCCAAAGCTCTGTACCTGCCCTAGCTAGGTCAAAACTCTGATTTTGTTCTGTTACAACACAGAGTCAAGAGAGTGTTTCACGTAAGATTTTAAAGGGGTAGAGACCAGCACGACCATGGTGTCTCAGAGCCAGGCAGAATCAGCGTATTAGTATGGAATATTTGACCTCTATAGGACTAGATGTGTTGTGGTGTCCATGTGGTTGCAGGAACATAAGGGTTTGTGATGCAACAACGAAGTAGAAGATGGAAAAAAAAAAAAAAACAGCATTGTTGCTAGGCAACTTGGGTTCCTTAACTCTGGCTTTGGTCAAACTATGCAAACTACTTCCTCTCCCTCTTCCAGACACCAGGGTTGGTCTTGTCAACTTGACTGGCATGAGAGCACCTGGGAGATCAGTAACACACTCTTTTGGGTGGGCCAGGGGTGTTATCTTGGCTGTGGTGTCTGGTACCTGACCCTTCACCTGCTCTCTTCCTGACGCCCCCCCCCAAAAAAAAAAAAACTGTGACGAGTTGATCGGCTTACCTTTATCACGCCCCTGAAGTCTACGAAACTGAGCCAAAATAAACCCTTTCTCTCTCAGCTTGTGTCATGTCCCAGCGATGAAATGGCTAATACTCTCTCCTGTACCCGCTTACAGCCTTAGCAGTCTTGGTGTGCACAGCAGTGACCAACAGCTCAGGTTTTGCGTAAAACTAGGCTCCACTAGAGAACCCTTGCAACTTCTGCGACTCTCTCTGCGCTGGGGTTCGCTTGTGTAAAATTAGTGGGAGCTAAGAACAGCTGCCTTGGAGGTGGACTAAATTCGCTAACATGCAGTCTTAACCTGATAATGAATTACAATCACCTAGCAAATTCACTTCATTCATCATACCACTCCCAGTTCATTTAAACTTTCTTCTCATTTACATTTTGAATATGCACTTTGGTGGGATAGTGAGTCCGCATTCTACACCCTTATGCTCCTGCGCCTCCCTCTTGGGGCCACCCTCCGCCGCCCACGCACAGCGTCCTCTGGTGGGACCCAGAGGTGGCGAAGGCGGTCTCAGGCAGTCAGAGCTCTCCGAACTGCTTGGCAACGTCCCAACAACCTGCTCAGGTCCTCTGCCAGGGAAAGCGGCGACCGCCAGCCCAGCTCTCGGGGATACCTACAGATGAACACACTGCAGGGAGAGCGAGGCTGCCGCAGAGGTAACAGCGGGGACCACGGCCAGCGGAGGGGGATGGGCGGTCCGAAGATAACGGGTGGACTGCGCCCCGCCGCCTCGGCCCGACCTCCTGCGCTCGAAGCCCCGCCCTCGGCTGTCCTCCTAGATCCCCGCCGCGGCTCCAGAGGTGACAGCCACGTGGACCCCCACGCGCGCGCGGCGGGGGATGCCGGCACGTTGGCGAGGGGGCGGGGCTGGCAGCGCGCCCGGGTGGGCGAGCAGGGCCTGAGTTCGCGCGCGCGGACGCCGGCTGCCGGGCGACGCTGCCGGGAGCGAGCACGGCGCTGACGTCTGTGCCGCTTGCCCAATGAGAGGAGACCTGGAGGAGGCGCCGTTCCCGCCCTCCGCCCCCGCCGCCGCCACACAGGTTACCCTCCCGAGCGTCTGTGGAGGCGCGGGCCGCCTCAGGCTCCGGCGAGGCAGCGACCCGACCTCGGCCGCCGTTCGAGGCCCAGGCAGCCACTCGCCTCTACCCCAGCGCCCGATGTCCTCAAGATGGAGGCAGCGGGGGCGGGGGCGTGAAGAGGGCGGTGCTGTGGGCGCGGAGGACCCGGCGGCCCGGGCGGCGGCAGTGGCGGGATGGGGCTGCTGCTCATGATCCTGGCGTCGGCCGTGCTGGGCTCCTTCCTCACGCTCCTCACCCAGTTCCTGCTGCTGTACCGCAGGCAGCCCGAGCCACCGCCGGACGAGGCAGCGCGCGCGGGCGACGGCTTCCGGTACCTCAAGCCGGTGCCCGGCCTGCCCCTCCGGGAGTACCTCTATGGCGGCGGCGGCGGGGCTGAGGAGCCCGCCGGGGGCTCGGCGGAGGGCGCTGCGACCCCAACCCCGACCTCGGGCCCCGAGACCCCCGCCCCGCCGACGCGGGAGACCTGCTACTTCCTCAACGCCACCATCCTGTTCCTGTTCCGGGAGCTGCGGGACACGGCGCTGACCCGCCGCTGGGTCACCAAGAAGATTAAGGTGGAGTTCGAGGAGCTGCTGCAAACCAAGACGGCCGGGCGCCTGCTGGAGGGGCTGAGCCTGCGGGATGTGTTCCTGGGCGACACGGTGCCCTTTATCAAGACCATACGCCTTGTCCGGCCGGTCGTGGCCTCGGCCACCGGGGAACCCGACGCTCCGGAGGGGGAGACCCTGCCCGCCGCCTGCCCGGAGGAGCTGGCCTTCGAGGCGGAGGTGGAGTACAACGGGGGCTTCCACCTGGCCATCGACGTGGACCTGGTTTTCGGCAAGTCCGCCTACCTCTTCGTCAAGCTGTCCCGCGTGGTGGGCAGGTTGCGCTTCGTCTTCACGCGCGTGCCCTTCACCCACTGGTTCTTCTCCTTCGTGGAGGATCCGCTGATCGACTTCGAGGTGCGCTCCCAGTTTGAAGGGCGGCCCATGCCCCAGCTCACCTCCATCATCGTCAACCAGCTCAAGAAAGTCATCAAGCGCAAGCACACCCTACCCAATTACAAGATCAGGTGAGAGGGGACCGGGCCGTGGACGGGGTGCAGAGGCGCGGGGACTGGCGGCTGTTAGGTGACCTGGGCCTGGGTGGCCCTGCTGCCCGCTTCAGTGGGAAGGGCGAAGGCTTCTTCAGCCCCCCAGCCCCTGTGTGCTACCCCGCACAGGGCATTAGGTAGGAAAGGCGACATTGGGTGCTTTCTTCGCTTCCCAGCAGCACGGATGGAAACCTGTCCGTGTGTTCCTGGGCACTGAGGTGGCTCCTTGGGTGGAACTGGCCCTCAGAGGCAAGTGGGTGACGGAAGGGAGGCCCACCGCTCGTCCTCCGGAGCCACTTCTGCGGAGTCACTTCTGGGACCGTTAAACTCGTCCTGTGCCTAGTTGCTGCATGCAGAGTAGCGGCCGCGTCGCTGACTGCAGCATCACACGGGCCACATGGGGAAATTGTTGCCGGACTCAGGGCAGTGTGAAGGATGTGCGCATTGCCCCAGTCTGGGCTGTTTTGCTATAGCTACTAGCCCCTTTTGTTTTGACACCGTGGTAGCTTAAATTGAAGGGCAGAGGTAGGAGTTATTGCTAGGAATACTTTGTGCAGTGAATTGGTAGGGCGTTGGGAGCGTGCTGTAGTGTACCTTTCTGTACCTTTTAAATTGTCATCTGCCCTTTGGGGGGGGTAGTTTCTGTAGCATAGACAGCAGACTGTCCGTCAGTGACTCCTCTCTATGACTGTAAGTTTCTCACCCAGTACTTGAAGTCACCCTGCAAACAGTATGTAATGGCAGGTAGTAATTTTAGTATCTTAAAGTTCTCCTCTATCTGATGGCTTAATTTTATGTAATATTTTTTTAATATTTATTTATTTTTATTTATTACATTTATTTATTGTGTGTGTGTGTGGCCAGCTCAGCCCACCAGGGGGCGGGTCTGGCTGGCATGTGGTGCTGGGGATCGAACCGCGGTCCCTGTGCTTTGCCAAGCTTGTTTCAAGTAGGTGCTTTAGACCACTGAGCCATCTCTCCAGCCCCTATGTAATATTTTTAATGTATGAATTTTCCTTTACTATAAGGAGAAATGGAAAGGGAAATTTTGTAGGGCTAGAAGCTTCATCTGCCTTGACCTGGGAAGTCTTGTCCTCTTAATTTTGTGTAGCTCACAAAATGTTTGAGCCTTTTGGGTGTCATCCTCTGTTATTAAGCTTATGTCCATCTTGTGTTAGCCTTATCTAATACCTTTTTATGTCCATTAAGTATTTTGCAATCATTAGTTTTCTTATGCAATCTCAAGATAACCCAGGAATATTAGAATTTTGAATGGAGTATCGATTTATGTTTCCCAGATGTACTTTACTAATTATATTTTCTTTAGACTCATAGCAAAGTGACAACCTGAAACTTCTGAGAGGTAGACAAAGCAATATAATGAAAATATTCATGTAGGTTTCTGTAGGATGGTGAACTGGGTTTGCTTTATGGTTCTGTGATGTGGTACATTCTGAAACCTGCTTTTAAGATCTAGAATATAAAGTGACTAAATTATAAATTCTTGTGTTTAAGCAGAGAGGTGTTTATTTATAGCAGTGTATTGCTAAGAAAGTCATGAGAAAAAGTTGTTACAGATTTTGGTAATCTATTCCAACTTCAACTCTGATGTTTTCTGAGTAGCTTTCAAGTAATGAAATCTGACTTGATGATGATGATGATGATGATGATGATGATGATGATGATGATTTGGGAATTATTTTCAGAATAGTCAGTGGCAGTGAAGTTACATATCTTGGCTTTTTCATATAGAGATGCAAAATTCAGTTAACTCTGAAAAATTTTATGAGTTAGGAAGCTCTTGAGAAGTTTATTACTTTGAATAAATTAACAGCATCATTTATTTAAAGCCTGGCAAAATTGCTCTTCACTAAGCATGTTGGAAGGGATTTTGAAGACCATGCAGTGTGAGTTTGATTGCTGTGTCAGCTTCTAAATCTTAAGCATTCAAGGACAACCTCCTAAAATAAATACTTCTGTGCTCTTCTTATTAGAGAGCATCTCATTGGTCAGTCAGTAAATACTATACTAAACGTGTCACGCAGCCTACTATATGGTTATCTCTAGGTAGAGCTTTGATACTAAACAGAAATAGACAGTGCCAGCCCTTATGGAGCTTAAAGTCCAATGAAGACTAAATTACATTACTTAAGATTTATGCTACAGTAGGATTGATGGAATTAAAGTATTTTAGCTTAGTAAAAGAAAAGTAGAAGTTTGGGGAAGAAAGAAGGTGCCTAAGGAAGTGTTGACTTTTCATGTCTCTGAAACTGCTCTGCCAGCAGTGTTTTGAACTGTTGATGTGGAGCTGATTCAGTTTCCACATAGATTCTCATAATGAGAATTAAGATAGATGGATTCCTTTATTCCTTTTATTTATCCATCTATTTATTTGGTACTGGGGATTGAACTCAGGATCCCACACTTGCCAGGAAGATGCTTATGACACTTAGCTATCTTAGCTATCTCTGCAGCCCTGGATTCCATTTTATGGATGAAGGAATGGAGCTCAGATAATTAAATAACTTGATTAAAACTACATGAATATCTAATGGTGAAACCCAGCTCTGATAGTCAGGCTGCCTTAAAAAAAACAACCACTATTGTTTCTAAGTTTTTTTCTTAAAGTGTGTCATCAATGTAATATATGTAGGATATCGTAAGTTAAATCAGGTCAAATCTTTGGGTACTGCTCCCCATACAATTTCTTTTTTAATCCAACATACTGTATTTACAAATAGAGGGTCTTGCACATTACTACTAAATAGCCATCTAATCTTCTTAGTAGAACTAAGAAAATTGTGGTTTGGCCAAATAGCTCAGTGGATTAAAGTGCCTGCAAGCAGGTGCAGGGGCGGGGGTTCGATCCCTAGGCCTGCTGTGCCAGCCCTGCCTCCAGGGCGCACTGAGATAGCGATTGAGACTGGGCGTGGTGGCACATGCCTGTAACCCCAGCTCTTGGGAGGCTGTAAACAGGCAGATTACTACCAGTCAGATCTTGTAGTGAGGCCCTAAACACCCTGTAGACCCTTCCCTAAAATACAAAAAAAGTTAGAAAAGAAAAGAAAATTATATTGAGTCCTGGGTCCTTTGGCATGTTAAATCATTATGTAACAAGTGTATCTTGCCAGTTAGCATTGTTGTCATTACTTTTCCCTGTATTTATTTTTCCTTTTTTATGTTGCTAAAGTGAAGTGGACTATAAGGGACTGCAGGTCTCAGATGTTTAACCCAGAGATAATAAGTAACTCAAGTGATTCCTTCTTAAAGACACTTCATTTTACCCAGTTAAGCATTGGGTAGCATTATCTTTTTTTAAAAAAAAAAAATTTGAATGAATAAATAAATATATATGGATTTCTTTTAATTGCATTATGTAGAAAATGGATTTGCTAATTTATTGAAATTAGGAATTTCTTGAGTCAGCCATCTCATTGTTGTTTTGTATTTCTTTAAACATGCTCTAAAATAGTATGTCAAAGTATTTTTAAAAATCCTTGAATTCATTTTAAAAGGAGCAAGATTACCACTGATATATTTTTCTTTAATTTTTATTAGTACATGTTTACAGACAGTAATTATTATGTTCATTATGGGAAGTGGGTACCTAACATAACATTCCTTTTTACATCCTCTTCCCTTTCCCTCCTCCTTTTGATTGATCTTCTTTCCATTTGCAAAAGATTATCTTCCTGTTTCCTATTATCTTTTAATTTCTTTTTTTAATGTATTTAGTACTGGGTCTATAAGGTCTCACTACACAGATCAGACTCATAGCGATCCTCTTGTTTTCAGCCTCCCAAGCGCTGGAACTATAGGTGTGCGTCACCATGCCCAGTCTCAATCACCATCTCAGTGTCTCAGCACACTGGGGATCAGACCACAGGTGCTTTAACCCACTGAGCTTTGTGGCCTGCCCTCCTACTATCTCTTGTTTTGCTCTTTTATCCATACATTGGGTTTCTGATGTAAGGAAAACCATGAGAGTGAATTTCATGTCACTTAACTTTATGGTCTCGCAGTACATCCATTTTCTTACATATGACTGGAGTTTATCCTCTGTGGCAGAATAGTAGTCATTGTGTGTAAGTACATATTGTCTTTATCCATTCATCTGTTGGTGGACGTATAGGCTGCTTCCAAGATTTATGTGTTATGAGTTGTGCTGCCATAAACGTGGGAATGTATATATCACTGTAATGTGATGTCTTTAGGGAAATACCTAGAAGGAATAGCTGGGTCAAATGGAATTTCTAGTTTTAGTTTTTGAGGAATTTCCATTTGATATCCGTAGTGATCATACTAGTTTATCTTCCCACCAACAACATAAAAAGAAAGGTTCTTCTTTTAGCCTTGCCAGGATTGTTATTATCTGATTAACTGATGATAGCCATTCTTTGTGGAGTAAGACAGCATCTCAGTATTGTTTTAGTTTACATTTCTTTAATGGCCAGAAATGAACGGTTGTTTTTTGTTTTTTAAATGTACTTGTTGGCAGTTTGTATTTCTTTTGAGATTTTTGATTGTCTTTTACTTTGAGTAGTGTAATTTTTTTGAGTTCTTTATTCTAGATATTAGTCCTCTGTCTAAGGAATAACTGGCAGTATCCCCTCATCTGTATATTGCCTTTTTATTCTGTTGGTTGTTTCCTTTGCTGTGCAGAAGCTTTTTAACTTGATATGATCCAATTTGTTGATTCTTTTGATGTTACTTTTGTGCAGTTGGGGTTCTGTTCACAAAGTCCTTACCTATGCCTGGGTCTTTAAGAGTTTTACCTATTTTATCTTCCCCTGGATCATGTGCTTTGGTTTTAATGTTTAGATCTTTTATCCATTTTGATTTTAATTTGGTACATGGTGAGAGCTCATGGGTCAGTGTCAGTCTTCTGCGTATGGATAGCCAGTTTCTCCAGCACCATTTGCTAAAGGGGCTATCTTTCTTTCAGTGTATTTTTGGTTCCTTTGTCAAAGGGCAGATGG